ATGTTTTTCCTTAGTTCTTTAATTATATTTAATGTTGTATGATATTCTTTCTTTTTTTTTTTTTTTCCCATTATTTTTTCACTCCTAAATGTGCTTTCAGGAGTTCTGGTAGCATAATGCCTAAGGCACTTGACTGCTAACCAGAAGGCTGGAGGTTCAAACCCACCAGCCCCTCCTTGGAAGGATGATGGAGCAATCTACTTCCATAGTGATACTGCCTTGGAAACCCAAGGAGGGGTTGCTGTGAGTCAGGTCCATCTTGACAGCATATAACAACAACAACAAATGTTCTTTCACTCCCTTTGTTATGTTCATTTGGATGGGCCATTGTTTTCTATTCTTTGTTTGTCTTGTGATGATGATGATGATGATTATTGCGACATTATAATTTACAAGGGTGTTAACTTCCTTGATTTTTTTTTTTCCCCAGTATTTACTGTTTTTGCCTGCACTACTTTCTGCAAGAAACTTAGGTGAGCAGAGGTTTCAGCTTTCACTTACTGCTTCCTTTCCTTCTCAGTGATAGCTCCTTCTTCCCAGGTTTAATTGGGATTCAAGAATTCCAGATCTCATTTTTCAACTTTCAGTCTCTCCCAAACACACCAGAGAACATGCTGTGGTCAGTCTGTCCACCAGCAAGCACCACCACTCCAGCTAGATATCATGTATTAATCAATTTGTCCACCAGGGGGTTCAGTCCCTTCTCTCTGGTTAGTACTCCCTTCCTTTCTCTGTTTCTGCAATCATATTTTAAGTCCAAAATCCCACACTCAGCAAGCCCCTTTTGGTTTCACCAAGAATTTCCTTCCATTCTCTGTGGGGGCTGCTTATATCTAAGCTGGCATTCAAGGAAAACACAGATTCCTTCTTTTCAGGAAGAAGAGGGCCTGACACTCCTCTGAAGAACCTCTGGAAAATGTCTTGTTGGTTTTAGAGCCCTAGTAGCCCTGTGGTGGTTGGGGAAGCAGTCTCCATTTAAGTAACACACTTGACTCCACCATAGGGAATCTTCTGTAGGAGTTCATATCAGTGAAGCAATAAATAGTTTCTGGTTAGGGCAAGAGTAGTCATACTCCAAAAGGAGAGCCCTCAGGGAGGTCTGTCTTATTACTATCGGAGCTACCCCATACGCTGGCTGTGGGTGTAGCCTCCACTCAAGATGCCTCCTTCCTAGCACACAGCAGCCTCAGTCAGTAGTTTTTAGTACCAGCTGTAAGGAGGAACAGATAGCCCCAAACTGATCCTCAATGGGTCTGTCCTGTTGGTTTCATTGTAAGCAGTAATTCCCAGGTAAGGGAGGAGGTATCACACTCTGATCAGATCCTCATAAATGTCTGCCTTGCTGCTGTCAGAGTTCCCCCAGTAGACTGTTGGCTGTAAGTACAACCTCTACTTTAGACTCCTGCTTCCTAACATACAGCAGCCTCAGTCAGCAGTTTTCAGTGCCAACTGGAAGTGGGGCAGACTAATCTTAACTGGTCCCCAGGGAGGCTTGTCCTGTTGTTTTCAGAGACCCGAGCTGTGGAGTGTATAGGAGACAAGTAGAATGCTGACTATGGAAAGACTCCACTGCAGGCCCCTTCTGTAGCAATTCACACCAAACTTGCAGGTGACGGTGTTCAGATGGGGGAGAGGACGTCATAATCCACATGTCATGCTCCAGGGAGGTCTACCTTGTTGCTCTCAGAGCCCTCACTGGAGTATGCTGGCTGTGGCTATAGCCTTCACTAAAGATGCCTGCTTCTTAACACACAGCAGCCTCAGTCTATAGTCCTCAGCACCGACCAAAAGGGGAGTGGACAGGCCTGAACTGACTCCTCATGAGACCTTTCCTGTTGGTTTCAGAGACCTGAGCCATGAGATATTTAGAGAGGCTGGTGAAGTGTTTACTGTGGGAGCAGACGCCAGTGCATGGACCTTCTGTAGCAACTTGCAGTAGACTTGCAGCTGACAATGTCTGGATGAGGGAAGTGCTGGCACACTCCAATGGACCCCAGAGAGAGGTCTCTCTTGTTGATATCAGAGCTCCCCCTGGTGTATAGTGGCTGTGAGGATTGCCTCCACTCAAAATGCCTTCTTCCTTGTACACAGCAGTCCTCAGCGCTGACCTGGTGAGGGGGAGCAGGCAGATGCAAACTGAATCCCCAAGAGGTCTGTTCTTTTGGTTTCAAAGGCCTGAGTTATGGGGTACACAGGGAGGCAGGTAGAATGCTGACTATGAAAGCAGACTCTCATATAGGGAGGTTCTGTACCAGTTCACAGTAGGTTTGCAGCCAACAGTATCTGAGTGGAGGAGGTGCTGGCATAGTCTATGCAGACCCCCAGGAAGGTCCGCCTTGTTGATTTTAGAACAAAACCTTACAATACTAGATATTATCACAAGGGGTGTGGTGGTTAGGGAAACAGGCTCTTTTTCTGGGGCCACTTCCCTGTTCACAGCAGGTCGCAGCTCCTGTGGCATGGTGTGAGAAGCGATTTACCTACTTATGCAACTCATTGATTTTTGCCAATCTACAGTTCCCCATTGCTCTCCTCTGCTCCTCAATTCCAAGTCCCTCCAAGCTGAGCACAGTTTCCTTGTTGTATTTGTGGAGTAGGATCGGAATAATGGTTTGTTTACACTGTCATCTTGCCAGAATTTACTCTCTTTAAAGGGTTTTTTTGTTTGTTTTCTACTTCTCTGTTTTCCTCAGGCTTCTAAGGACTCAGTCTCTGGAATGGTTCTACAATAATGTGAAAAGCCGCTTCAAACGCTTTGGCAGTGCCAAAGTCCTGAAAAACTTGTACAGGAAACACCGGCTGGAGAGTGGAGCATGCTTTGACATTCTAGGTACTCTGCCTCTTGCGGATCTGGGGGTCTTTAGTGAGCTAATGCGGTAAAAATCCTGGTTTCAAGGCCCTGTACACTGGGGCACACTCACCTAGGACAGGAAATGGCTTAAACTGTCTGGCTCTAGTGAGGAGCAGAAATAGGACAGATGCCAGACACTCTCTTAAGTTTAGACTCTTTTTGGTTAGGGCTGATACGTTAGAAGCTGGGAGGACCAAAGTATTCTCTACAGACTGTGAACATTTTAATTCTGGTTACCTAGAAACTAAGGAGCCTTGTGTCACATGGGGAGCTCTGATGGTGTAGTGGATAAGGCATTTGGCTGCTAACCAGACGGTCAGTGGTTCAAACCCACCAGCCACTCCATGGAAAGAAGATGGGGCAGTCTACTTCTGTAAAGATTTACAGCCTCAGAAACCAAGTGGGGGTTGCTATGGGTCAGAATTGACTTCATGGCAGTGAGCTTGAACTTGGTGACACAATGGCTAAGCTGGTAATCCAAAAGTTGGCAGTTTGTACCTATTTAGCTGTTCCATGGGGATATGCTCCCACAAAGATTACAGCCCATAAAACTCTAATGGGACATTTCGACACTGCCATGTGGGGTTGCTATGAGTCAGAATTGATTCAGTGGCACCTAACAACAATCACCTAGAAATTAAAGATTCTTGATCCATCATCCCCTAATGGTTAAAATGTAGGAATGTCTTCTTCATTTGATTGCACTCTTGAGATATGCCTCCCCCCTCTATTTTTTACCCACCCCAAAATGCTATTCTTACTAGGCCCCAGAATTTGATGTAGTAGGAGAGTCAGGAAATTACTACCAGCTTCCTATCAGGAAGCTTGAGGGATGAATTTATGTATTTAAGACAACAATTTTCAGTTCATTAAAATGAGAAATTATATTGAGTTCTAGAAAGAAGAAATGGTTGTCAGAATATGAACAGCATGTCCTCCAATATGGCTGTTGAGTCTGTCTAGAGGCAAATTTTTTGCATCACTTTGCTGACACAGGTAAACGCTTTTTATCCACAAGAAAGAGGGAAGAAAAAAAAAAGTCTCTTCTATTTCATTTGGAGTTTTTTACCATCATTATTTTACATTGTTGTATTCTCAATAAAGTCTTTGGTTGTGTCTTACCTAAAAATATGCCAGTCACTTAGACAAGGGGAAAAATAGGAAGGAAACATTATACAGAGAGAATCATTAGAGCCTCTTGTGCTGGTTATTAGAATCTGTCTTTTAAACTACTCAGGAAGTCTATGGCTAAGAGAACACTGCTGAAGGTTTCCATCTATTATTTTTATCTTTTCCTGACTAAGTATTCTAAAAAAGAAATTCTCTATGGATGAAGTCTTAAAATGAAATAAAGCTTAAAAAGAACGCTGATAGCAATACTTTTTCAACCAAAGAGATATCTTAAGAAGGTTCCGGAGTTAAAGTGACTCACTCTCTTATACACCTGTGGGATTGCTTCATGAACCCCTTTAAATGTCACCAAATTCGAATCTCTCCTGCTTAATCCAAATTGAGGAAAAAAAAAAAAGTGTGGAGAACCAGTCAGAACAAAACACAATTCTAAATTCTCTCCAAGACCCCACATTATTATTATTGTTGTTGTTGTTATGTGCCATTGAGTTGGCCCCGACTCATAGTGACCCTTCCCTGGGTTTCTGAGGCAGTATCACTATGGAAGTAGATTGCCCAGCCTCCTACATTGGGCAGACCTAAATGTTAAGGGAATTAGTTTAGGGCTTTGAAATTTACAAGTGACTTTTTCAAAAGAAACTCATTTGCTCAGAATAAGAATCTGCCACGATTGAAGCCAATTTAGGTACAGTATGCACTATGATTCCCATGTCTTTCTTCGGAGTGTCAATCACCGTACTTACCACATTGAATTCAGGTGATGATGGTCTACAAAGCTGCCACTCCCACCGGACCGTGGTATGGAGATGACAGCTTCCTCATCCTTGTGTTCCCAAAGCTCAATGCCTGGCACACCTTAGGTCTCAATATCGTGTTAGTTCGGTCATAAAAACATTTTATGGGTACCAAAATGCTTTGTAGAATTCGAATCAGTTACTTGACATGATTTTAATATAATCACTATTTAAACTAAGATTTTCTTTGGATAAACATGAAGACAAGCAAACAGACAGTTTTTGAGATGATACTCAAATGTGTAAAGCTGTCATCATGAAGCAATGAAAATCATTCTACAAATCACCAAGATACTTAGTTACACCTCAAGCATGGATAAATCTTCCAGTGGTAAAATGGCCTCCTGGCTGTGCTGGTTGACTGAGGAGTTGTGTCAGTTTTACCTACCACGGAACACTTCTTTTTATGGTTGTCACCTATCACCCTCCATCCTGACTATACATTAGAATCACCTAGAGACCTTGGGAAAAAAAATCCCAGTGCCCAAGACTCCCAAGAAGTCCTTCTAATTCCTAGCATAGATGCTTTTTAATCTCCCTGGATTATGTTAAGGTACAGTCAAGGCTGAGAACCTCCGCTAGAACTTTCCTATAGTTAGTTCAGCAGAGTTCTGAATAAGATGGTGTTCTGGTTACCTAGTGCCACCCTGACAGAAATATACCATAGATGGGACGACCCTAGCAAACAGGAGTTTATTCTCTTACAGTTAAGACTTTAAGTCCAAGTTCAAAGTGCCAGGCTCTAGGGACTGGGTGAAAGCCCCTCAGCCTTGGGCTTCAGCTCTGCCTCCTGCTCCCGGCCCACTGAAGCTGGAGGTGTTTCTTCACTCAGACAGCTGCTGGCTGCTGAGGCTGCCAAGCCCAAGGTTGACAGGTAAAAAGGCACAGACCTGATGTTACCAAACCACATGGCACGCCATTAATTCAAGTCCATTGTAAGTCCCCAGGTTGGCAGAGCATGGCAGGCTGCTGAACAATGGCACTGCTATGTGCAGGGTCCAAGCATGCCATAAGCTAGAGACCATTCCCAAAGCTGCTGCTTATATACGGAAAGCAGACCACATACCCAAAGCAGCTACTCAGCTGCTTGTGGTAGATCCCACCATGGAGTTGATTGCCAGTCTCATCATGGGGAATACTACCACCAGCTGCCCAGTCACTCAGCCAGGCCCAGCCAAGTTGACACACAAACATAACCACCACAGATGGTTCTATCTTCAATTCCAACTATTGTTGTTAGCTGCCATTGAATTGGTATGGAGGTCATCACGTTATGGTGACCCCATGTACAACGGAGCAGAATGCTGCCTGGTGATGTGCCATCCCCAGGATCAGACCATTGTGATCCTTGAGATTTTCAATGGCTGATTTTTGGAACTAGCTTGCTAGGACTTTCTTTCTAGTCTGTCTTAGTCTAGAAAGTGTACTGAAACCTGTTCAGCATCATAGCAACACCCAAGCCTCCACTGACAGAGGGAGAGGGATGGTGGCTGTGCATCAGGTGCATTGGCCAGGAATTGAACCCCAGTCACAGAAGACGAGAATTGCTCACTGAGCCACTACTGCTCCCATCAATGCCAACTAAGGGAATTTACTTTCAGGGTTTTGATTGTCAAAACATAACATACAACACCTACGGTGTGCAGGGCGTATACCGTGCACCAGGACTCTCACTGTAAAACTTCTTTCACCTACAGAACTTCTCCACTGCATGGACCAGTGTAGTTGCCATAAAAACATTCAGTTCATTGACAGCTTGTTTAGTTCATGGGATCCTTTTGGTCACTTTTTTTTTTTTTTTTAATTGTGATTTGGGTGAAAATGTACAGAGCAAAATCACTTTCCATACAGCAGGTCACATACACTTTGTCTCATAACATTGACTACAATTTACCACAGTGCAACAGCTCCCTTCCCTCCTCCCGATAGTAACCTCTTCCCTGTGTCCATCCCTTCATGCGCTTCTGCCCCCTGAGCATACACAGACCTTCTATTTTCCCATGATTGTTCTCTCCAAGGAGCGTATCTACCTTGGGTAAATGTTCAGCTCATATGCCTGTCTTTTGTTTGTCTGGAAGCTATAGGTATGGGTTCAATTCCAGACCTGAAGGGCAGCTAGAGGCCATAGTCTCAGTGGTTCCACCAGGCTCTATTGGACCAGCAAACCTGGTCCCC